CAGTAATTTCTGTTAAATCTCTCTCCCGTTGATGATGATTGGTGCTGATATTCGTTGTTACTGTTGCTAAGTTATCTTCATATCCTCCGAATTCTCTATTTTCATCTGGAGTCCTGTCTTCGCTGCCTCTTAAGCCAGTTTCTTATGTATGTGTATAAAAGATGGCTAGCATACCGAGCCATCGACTTCGTTGACAGTCTACGTTACCTGATGACAGATCGGGGTTGGGAAAGACCTAGTGGTGGTCAAACTTAAACATGGAATCAAACAGTGGAGTCTGTAACAGTTAGTCTGAGGTACGCAGGGAGGTGTGAGCTTCATGGTTGGGCTCCTCGGGATCCTAAGAACCAACAACTGAAGAATGTCGGTGATATGACTCAAAATTATTCACATTGATGTAGACACATTCACTGTTTTTGATCTCCCGTGTTCATTAAGCCAGTTTGTTGCTTTGCGCCTCTATTTCTTCGAGTTTGTTTGACATTAAGCGTATATCATCTGCGAAATCGAAATCTTCCAGAGTCTTCTTAATGGTGGGTCATATTGAACAATAATGCGAATATTAAACAAACATAAAATGAGATTGAGATAGTTAAAATGTTTTGAAAATTTGTGAGAATTTAGCGATGCACATGTGTCGGAAGAGATATCAAAGTCCAAAACTTAATAGTAAAATAAAATATTTACCTATATATAATAAAACGACGGCTATATATATTCAAAACATATACCTGCAGAGATTGCAAATAAAATACACATACAGATGCGAGGAAGATAAGAGATTTTCTAGGCAGATAAGGAATGTATTACGCAAATGTATAAAAGCAAAATGAAAGAGAAACAGACACCAATGATGCAGTGTAAACGATATTCCCCGTTTAATTCAATATTCATCTTCCTATTGATGGACTGAATCGAAATGTTCGATCTCTGTTGATATGTTCGCTCCTACAGGTGACCCCGAATTGTCTAGTGGATAGCGCTTCAACATTTGAAATGATGGTAGTAGATTCGAGTCTCAGTGGGAGTTCAAGTACATTAAGAACGACGAGTCCCAAATAGGACGAAATGAATATCCTAGATTCCAATGCTAGTCACCCACAAACCTACGATAATGATATTCATTAAACAGAGACTTGGCGCGTCATAAAGAGCACCTCAAACAAACTATAGACCTTCATTAACAGTTGTCTTCGCCCAATACTCATGATCAGATGGCCAGAAAAGATCAGCAACACGGATCTCTGGCAATAAACGAACCAACCAGGAACCGATTGTGAAACAAATAGGCAGGAAGAAATGGAGATGGATTGGCCATATTCTGAGGAAACCACTAAGCGATATCACTAGACAAGCCATCGCTCGAATGGAACCCAAAAGGGAAGCGGCGAGTTGGTCGTCAGTGCGAGAGTGGGGTGACATGGAGGAGGTCACGTGAAGAGATGAAAGCGTGTGGGCAGACTTGGAGCGGAGTGAAAAATTTGGAAGAAAACCGAACGCAATGGAGATGTGCCGCTGAAGCCCTATATTCCTCCAGGAATTAAAGGATATAATAAACAGGATAATGCTGGATTAAACGGGATTCTGTATGCCTAAAAATTGTTCAGTAACACTGGATAAATTAGACCTAATTGACGAGACTGATTTGTTTACTTATTACCCAAAAAACTTAAAATATTTCTGTTAAGGTTCCTACTGTCGTCAGGTACACACATGAATCCGTCTTCCTGTTCATAGGCAGATCTTGTGATGTATACTCTATGCATTTATTTCCACAACTATACGTAGATCAATAAATGCAAATGAAGCTGGCATAACAAGGGAACTTTTCCATCTTAGGATAAGTTAATGAGTATACAGTTGCTTCAACCCATACCAACTTTGCTGCAAGCAACCTCCTATTTACCTCATTACTGTAAACTGGACGAATATATAGTATAGTTAGATGTCTAAAGTACTCTTCTTCATATTTTGTAACAAAATAATACTGTAGACTGATGGCATAGGTCAAGCTGTCATACACTTGAAATAAACCGTCAACCATTTCATTTGGTACCTCATATCTTTGTTCAAAACTATGGAAAAGATAAAGTTGTGTGGTTTTACTTCGAATCATATTCATGTATAATTCTTAGTTGAAATAAATCACCACCATTATGTATGTGTATAAAAGATGGCTAGCATACCGAGCCATCGACTTCGTTGACAGTCTACGTTACCTGATGACAGATCGGGGTTGGGAAAGACCTAGTGGTGGTCAAACTTAAACATGGAATCAAACAGTGGAGTCTGTAACAGTTAGTCTGAGGTACGCAGGGAGGTGTGAGCTTCATGGTTGGGCTCCTCGGGATCCTAAGAACCAACAACTGAAGAATGTCGGTGATATGACTCAAAATTATTCACATTGATGTAGACACATTCACTGTTTTTGATCTCCCGTGTTCATTAAACCCTCACATTTCTGCTTGCTGTTATTCTTTGTGAATCTATTTTGTCTTTCTCTGTGTGCTTCGTAGAGTGTGGTAACTCGAAATGCTGCACTTCTGTGCAATGTTCCATGTTGAAGTTAGTCAGTCAGTCAGCGATAGATTTGTTCTTGAATGCAGAAAAAAGAAGTCGTCAGCTGAAAATAGACACAGAACTGTGATGTAATTTATACCCTGCTTTGCACTTTATCTGAAGATTTTCACTAAGAATTATCATCATTATTGGACAAATCAGGATGGATGTACAGTATTTTGTAAAACTACACATTTAAATAACCGTTCATCAACGACATTTACACTTTATATGATAAACCAAGGTTTATTTAAAGTGTTATTCCCTTGGGTTCTGAGCAGAATATAGAGCTTCAAGAACACATTCGATGCTGTCCTCTTTATCTGGGACCATGGTTGCTCATAATATCTCACCTTCTCCTCGCACAATCTCATCCATGTCACCCTCACATTGACGATCCACTCGTCGCGTCCCGTTGGGAATCCACTCGAGCGATTGTCTACATTGCGTGCAGTGTTCTTCCTTCTTCTCTTGTTCCGCATTGATTGTAGCACTATGAGTAGCATTGGATAATCGTGATCTTGCTTCCTTTTGAGTTAAATCTTGCTGTTTCGCTCCTGGATAAAATTATTTGCCACTGGTGACATCATAATAGCCTCTCAATGTGCTCGTGGTTGTTGTCTGGGTGACCGGAGTAGATTACTGACTCTCCAGTTAAGAATTTGGATAATCCACATCCGTTACATGTGCTTTCGCAGATACCCAGTACTTCTATGCCATATTTTCGACATTTCGTTGGCTACATGTGCAGCCTTCCCAGCCAACTTCACACATTGTACGGACATTCCAAGTCCCCTTTCTTATTCTTGCTTTCATCGAGAAAAAAGACATCGGCTGGCTGACTGTCTTCCCAAAGGTGGAATTTCACCAGTCGCCTCACTGATTCCAGCAAAAAATAAGTTCGTTTTTTATCTTTTTTTAATATGCGTTAAAGCTTCTCTAGCAGTTTGATTGGTTTTGTGGTATAGAGCTTCTAGTCCCATGCCTAACTCTCATTTTTTACCCGCGCTTGGGACCGGAGGACAATTAATCACAGTCAAAATCACCAAGGGGAGATATATTTCATATAGGTCATTTGTCTCTAGAGATATCGTCTATGATAGGCGATGCAAGCTTCGCAATTTAAACTCCACGATCAAAGAACTAAAAACACCAACAAAGTCAAACTACATTTTCTTCTGAAACAAAAAACAATAAACACAGCTTTTAATGAAATATGAGATTTATTTTGAATTTGATGTATATAAGTAAGTAGTATAAATTACTAATTACTTTGACAATTCCGATTACTTGTATCGATATTAGTAGTAGTAGTAGCTGTGGGAATAATAATAATAATGATAAGAACAATAAGAAGAATAAGTTAATATTATTTTTAGTAGTGAAATAATAGTAGTAATGTTAATAATAAAGCAAGCTGACGTGCAGGCAAAGTATACAACAAGACAAAACGCAACTAAGTGTCTCTTACTCATTATGTTGTTTTTGTTCTCTTCACTATGAGCATTATGACAGGCTGAAAAATGAAGATGTATTTTTATTATTATTATTATTATTATTATTATTATTAGTGTGGTCATCTGAAGTATGGTACTGATGATTCCTTTCAACTGTTGTATGTTTGTGTCAATAAATACAGAGAATTTTCAGTTATGTAGAGACATAGGCCTCTTAAGTCAAATATAGATAAATCTTAATTTAGAATATAAAAAAAAGCACAAAAGGAAACTAAAATAATCCAGCACTAAAATGATGATAAAACACTCCATACACACACACAGAAATATAAGCAAAGAAGATATGCACAGACTATGGCTTATGGAAGACAAGGTTTCTTGAAGAAATCAAAAATCATAGAAGAATATCAAAGGAAGAAGAAAAGAGAAGAAGTGAAATAGGCATTTTGATGGTCGGATGCGCACTCATGACCAGTTCCAAGGGAAACTGAATATAGTTTCGTGACGGAAAATATGCGACTAGGAGTGACTATGGACAAATGAATAAGCAAGTATATATCACCGGTGTTAGTTAGGCATTATTCACTGCACATTGTCTCCACAATTAAAAACAAACCACACATACATATACGCACACTGACGAACACCTTGACATATGATTTGAAGGAAACTTATAGGAGGGGGAAGAGAGAGAGAGAGAGAAAGGGGTTAACTGTTGGTAATCAACACGTGAATATAATACTGAGTCAGATAAAAAAATGCAGTAAGTATGAGAAAGGCCTTACGTGTGTGTGTGTATATATATACACACATGTGCCTTAATTCATTGTTTATTAGTAGTAGTCATAGTAATATAGTATAATCTACTAGATTATTGAACACTGTGAATAGAATTCGCATGATTGAAAAATTTACAATGTATATATATTATCACTGAAAGTTATTGTCGATACTGAGATTCTCTCTCTTCTAGTCATACGTATATCAAACAATTGTACCAGGCCAAGAAATCACTTGTAGAACAACATCACCAGTTGCCTTTTTTAACAAACGAACTGCAGATGAATGAGGAATATTCAGCATTGATATGTTATTCACAGCTAAGATAAGATCACCACACCTGAAAAGCATAGTAATAATAATAATAATAATTTGAATTGAAATATTCGTAATTTTATATTAAACATTAACTATACACAAGGAAGTGATACATTCTAATGTCGGAGGGCTGACAACACATTATAGCATTCTAACAAGGTAATATTTATATTTCCCAACTTATCGACCAACAACACTCGTTTTATTTCTCATCTTACTGACAGAACTAATACTGTTTCCGAATGTACTTTATCTTCCATAGTAGATTGATTAACAACACTCGAATTAACTTTCATCATACCATATTTATTAATAAAACTAATGGTGGCTTGGCGCGTCGGTGGTATAGCGGTTAGGAAGCTCGCCGACCAAGCACATAGTCTGAGGTTCGATCCCCGGCCGACGAACTCCTTTACCTCGTTAAGCCAGAAATAATCCTAGTAAACAGGAAAGGTTGAGCATGAGGCTAGCAACCCCATCCTGTGGAAAATAAACACTGCTACAGAAAATTCAAGCCACTAGCTTGAAGTCCTATGTTTCACTGGGAAGGGGAAGGAAAAAAAATGGTGGTTTCGAATGTACTTTATCTTTTTTCTGTTTGACACTAGTCTTATATTGATTTTATTCAAATGTCTAATCAATTTTTACTCATGTATATTAACGAAGCAAGAAAGTTATGTGAAGAGCACATTGATATGAGTATGAGCAATGAATTGTGCTCGAAACGTATATCAGTAAACATTACTGTACAACAGGACTATGTGACTTTATCAAAATAAAATTCTATACATAATGGAATTATACTGTACCACAGTGCCCAAGTTTTATCCTTATTCCATGAAGTTTGACCATGGAATAAAAGCTATCGCATACATTACCTATTGTAATAACTCCATTATGGATAAGATTTTATTTTGATAAATCACACAGTGTTGTACAGTTATATTAACTGATGACGTTTCGAGCACAAACTATTGCTCATAATCATATCAAGTTACTCACACAACTTTGTTCTTTCATTTATATACATGTGTGAAAATCGATTAGATATTGGATTAAAAATCAATGTGAGATAATGTACATTCAGAAATACTAGTATGAGTGTTGTTGATCAATTGCAGTTAGATGGGAAATACGACGAGTGTTTTAATAGTCATAATAAGTTTTTTGTTAGAATGTTGTGATGTGTTTGAATTGAAATAGAATTTTAAGATTATTTATTATCCCCTTCTGATTTGACCTGCGGTAATAATATCTTCCATATCTCTGGTATTTGCATTGAGTCATTTTTGTTGCATGTGTTGGGTGTAGACTCGATAAATAAGGATTCCGTAATCAACCTCTCTCTCCACCTACCTATATTACTTTTTAGAATTTTAACCCTATCCCACCCTATTGTGTGGTTGTTTGTTATTGCATGAAGTGCAATAGCTGAGCTTTTTTCTAAATTACTTATCTTTTCAGGGTCAACCATTCTTACCTTAGCTAAATTCTTATGTTCTGTTAATCTGACTATCCCTGACCTACTAGTTTGACCTATGTAGTTGACCTCACAGTTATTGCAGGGTATTTTGTAAATTATATTATTTTGTTTAATTGGATCCACCGGGTCTTTTAGCCTACAGAGCTTGTCTCTGAGTGAGTTTGTAGGTTTGAATGCCACCCTAATTCCTGCTTTATTAAGAATCCTACGTAGGGCCTCAGATGTCTCTTCCTTATATGGTATAACAGTGGATGACTTATATTCTTTCTTATTTGTGTTATCATTAATAGTTTCACCATTATTTTTATTTTGCTTTTGGCCTTTACTGATCTTCCTAATGAATTTTATAGGATAGTTATTCAACACCAACGCTTCTTCTATCTGTTTTATTTCATCATTTAGGTCTTTTCTTGTGCTACTTAGTGCTATGGCTCGATTTGTTAGACACTTTACTAAGCCTGCCTTAACAGTTAACGGATGAGACGAATTAAAGTCTAAATATCTATTAGAATGCGTTGGTTTTCTATAAACACTAGTGTGTAGTTTGCCTTCTTCTATTCGTTTTATTTTACAATCTAACATAGCTAATTCTCCTAGTTCATTTTCTGATTCAAATGTGAATTTTATTCCTCTACTTGTGAGTTTATATGTGTCAGGAAGCTAGAGATATGTTCTGTTTTTAACACCGTGAAAGTGTCATCCACATATCTCCACCATATTTTTGGAGTGGGGTTAAACGTATTAAGAGCACTACTTTCCCAGCTGTCCATAAATATGTCTGCTACAATAGGGGATATTGGTGATCCCATTGCTACACCTTCTGTTTGTCTATATATTTTGCCTTGGAACTTAAAGATGGTAGATGTGAGACATAACTGAATCCCTAACATAATTTCTTCAATGGGCAGCTTTGTCCTATGATTCAGTTCAGGATCCGCAGTTAGTTCTTTTCTAACTGCTTCTAAGGCCATAATGACTGGTATATTAGTGTAAAGACTAGTTATATCAAAACTAACCATTTTTTCATCATTCTCTAGTTGAATGTCATTTAGCTTACTTTTCATCTCATATGAATTAGTTAGTCTAGAGTTTGAACGATTTCTAATGGGACAAAGTATTAGAGCTAAGTGTTTTGATAATTCATAAGTGGGGTATTTCTAAAATCTACTATAGGTCTTATGGGGTAACCTGGCTTATGTATTTTAATAGTACCATATATTCTACTAGCACTATTAGTTTTAGGCATTAAATTAAACTACTTTGAGTCACCCAGTGACGACTTCATTTTTCGTATTAACTCGTATTATTGCCATCAGTCAAATCAGAAGGGATAATAAATAATCTTAAAATTCTATTTCAATTCAAACATATTCAAACACAACATTCTAACAAGTAGCTTTTATTACGACTATAAAAAAAACAATCGTCCTTTTTTCCCATCTAACTGCAACTGATCAACAACACTCATACTAGTATTTCTGAATGTACATTATCTCACATTGATTTTTAATCCAATATCTAATCGATTTTCACACATGTATATAAATGAAAGAACAAAGTTGTGTGAGTAACTTGATATGATTATGAGCAATAGTTTGTGCTCGAAACGTCATCAGTTAATATAACTGTACAACACTGTGTGATTTATCAAAATAAAATCTTATCCATAATGGAGTTATACTCTACCACAGTGCCCAAGTTTTATACTTATATCTATTGTAATAAATGTCTCGTGGTGAAAAAAGAGAAGTAGTGATAATCAATTTTAAATCGAAAACAATGAGATAGGAAACAAAATGGAGTGAAACTTCCCATAAAAAACCACAAAAAAAACTAATGACGCCATAAAATTTATTCCATATCAGAGGAGTTTATTTCATTTAACACACAGTGGTATAGTATTAATAATTGGATGACGAAATGTCATAACTATCAATGACTGCAGGTGACAGTTATTATTTGTCCATAGACATAAGTGATAGAAGCACTATTGTTGTCTAGACCAAAACTATTAGTTAGTTTGACGAAGGGTGTTGATACAAACGTAGATGTCTCTTTATATGTGCGTTAAAACACAACGCTTTAACAGTTTAAGAAGAGTCTTCATCTGTATGTATTTAATACAAACATTCACTAACATAGCGCTAAATTCTTTGAACTACAGTTGCAGGTGACTGACTCTATTTATCAGCAAACTGTCAAAGATTATTCTCTGATAAGAAGTGCTTCTGATAGTGGTTTTGGCAAAGGTACGAATAAAGCTATACGCAGCTCAATACTAGTTCATCTTGGCGATACTGGACAATTAAGTTCACTCTAATCAAGCTTTTAAAGTTATTTATCATATTTCACGAAACCTCTAGCATGGTCCAAAAGTTCCACTTTTTATATAGATAACAGGCAATCGGAATTCATTTGAACAAGTGACATCTGTATGTGTAACAGAAATTTTTGTACAGCTCCTTTCTTTACCATGGTCAACTACATAATATGCATTGGATTTTTATAAACAATTTTTCCCCTCCCCTTGTAACCATCTTTTGACTTTGTTATTATATTTAGAATTCTAGCTAATTCTATCGACCTGTTGGTATTTTACGACATTCAACTAATTCATCCTATTTATCTAAGTAGTCATTATTTTAGAAATCTCCTGATTACGTAATAACTTGTTGCTAACCTCTACGAATTGACTTATCTCGAATTCCGTAATTAACTTTCCCTCCTCCCCCTACAAAATTTACATATCTTGTTACCAACATCTGTTAGTTAGTTGTTTTGGTGGCTTTATTATTCCCCTGCGTTCCTAATGCAACATAGGGCTTCAACAACACATCTCCACTTTCATCTATTTTCTACGATCCTCTTCAGCTAGGTTCACGATTGTCCGAAATCCCTCATCTCTACCATGTCACCCTATTACGACCCGCTCGTCGCTTCCCATTAGGATTTCACTCGAGCGATGGCCTGCGTTGAGAGCGACATCATTCGACGGCCTTCTCAATGTATGCGTGATACATCTCCACCCTCCCACAACATCTTTGTTGAGCGATCGGATCTCGCCTGTTGGTTTGTTTCCAGACAGAGTTTCATATTACTTATTCTCTCTGACCGACAATTTCATCTTCAGTATGGGGCCAGCGAAGGCAGCTGTTGATGAAAGTTTGCGACCTCTTGGAAATCCTTTTCGTGACACGCTAGCCAAGTTTCTGTCCCGTATAGAAGAAGTGACTAACTTCACATTCGTATTGAAAATCCGAATGTTGTTCTTTATGCTGGTTGAGTGATAGCAGAAGATTTCCAAAGTGGTTTCAGGTTGATGAAGGCGTATCTTTCCTTTCCAATTCCTGCTGGCTGCCTCTGATATCTTTATCCGCTCCGATAGCCTGTAGTTGAAACGATGCTTCCTAGATAAGTGAAGGAGTTTTGATGACTTGTAACTCTTCAATTTCACCCCACCCCATGAGAGTGGGGTGAAATTACTCTCATATACGTAAAAAAAAGAAATAAAATAACTACATGATTGGTAAAATTTTCATGTAAAAAGCCATATATATTAGTGTAGAGAAGACAATGGGGAATTAATTAAAAATTTATTGTTTTTTCTAAATGCGAAATTGGGAAATTAATTATTATATTTACCAGAAAACACAGTTTATTGTACTTCGCTTCACATGAAATACTAAGAGATGTTTGATACGCGTTTCGAAAGTACAAACTTAGTTTAAATGAATACCAAATTTAAGCTTTTGAACAAAGTGACTCAATAGGTTTAGCCAAATGAAAGATCAAGAGCACCACATACATATTGCTCTAATCTACAGTTAAGAGGGTTATTAGATGGGAATGAAATCAGGAAGTTCAGGCGTTTTCAATCACATACATTCATAGAGGAACAGCTGCCAATAAAAATTTGTTTCTCAAAGCAAGCGGCTGGATTAATCGCCAGTGAAACTGTTAACATCTTCAAGCAGACACAGAAACAAAAAAATTGACAACCAGTAATTATTTATAAGCAATATTCACTCACTTTAGTCGACCGTCTTTATGGGCAAGGAGTCCAGGAACTATAGATTTTATCACAATTGGACAAGGATAAAGGTTAGAGTAACCAACTTTGGCGGTGACTTTTGGAGATGATTTAATAATTTTCCCATCAGACGTATTTGAATTCGATTGGCCTGATATCCCTTGATCATGACCCAAACCACCAACAATACTGAAACCGAGTGGTTGTGAAAAAGAACAACCACTAAAACTAGGCGTACTACTACTTTCTCGACGAAGAAGAATTACTCGAGCCAGTTGACAAATTGGTGGTAATCGAAGCCAATATGTCCAAGAAGGCATAAAGTTTTCTGGACCATCACTTGTCTCGGGAGCTGTAATGACACGCAACTGTATCCGTGTTTGCATTAGACTTATTTGTCGGAGAACTTCAACAGCTTCATGATGCGTAAGACCAACTAGACCAACACCATTAACTTCTAATAGAATATCACCTCGTTGAATCTGAACAACAGGAAAAATGGATAGCAAAAAGATACTTTACTTCATACGTTAGTAGAGAAGCTATCAGGAAAATAATAATAATAAAAGGCAGATTTAAAACAGTTAATTCGACTAAAAAATATATTTCCGATTGTCACTGATATATTTCACGAAGTATTAGGGCGGACAAGCTGCTTTGTTAGTCATGAAGTCATAATAATGTATGAGCAGGAATAATAACCCTATTGGACAGTGATGGTTTGTTTATTTATGGCTTAACTCTATTCCAACCTAACCTTATGTCAGTTAGTATTGCTTCTTGGGGAAAGCGGCGGCTCGGAATGAGTAACATGTGCTCTCAAGCGATGTAGCTTCACAACTTCATCAATTCACTTTCCCTCCATACTTACCACTCTACACTTGACCTCAATATTGCTCACCATATTGTAGCACTTGATACCGGCGATAGAACGCAAGCATCTATGGTCAAAGACACTTAACCTCTTCATATCTTCCAGTTTCAATACCCATGTCTCACAGGTATTAAAAAAGGACAAAGTGAACTGCTGTACAGCACACACATCCATGGATAGCACAAAAAATTAGACATCTTAAAATAAGTAACTTATCTACGACAAAAAACAACAAAACATAATTCATACGCACACACAGACACGGCGTTTATACACATATTCAGAATAAATTCTACATAATAAGAATGTTTTGACAAACTTTTACCGTTAAGAATAACAAATCTTATGTAATGGCTAAAATTTAGTAATCAGAGTAAGAATTAATTTTAAATTGGAAAGTTATCACGCAGGTTGTCGATTCTGCAGAATAATAAACATTTATAGACCATAGATAGAGAGTAGCAGCGATATTACTCATTCTATCAATACCGATATAACTATAGTAATAAGTAAAACACGTTTCGGTCAATAATTAAGGCGAATAATAAGAACTATGAAGAATTAAAATCGGGGATATCTGGTGTGTAGTAGAAACTTTTCTACACTGATAAGCAGAATGAAGACTTTCAAGGAATTTTCATTACATTCCCACTCTACTAATCTCAGGTTCTGAAATAAAAGGGTGTGAAGTGGTGGAGAGTGGATAAAACCTATTCAACCTCCCAAGAAATATGCTCATATGGGTATGGGCATGCATTATTAGTATCCGCTAAGTAAGTTCTATTAGTGCATCCACGTAGTGGAGGTTCTCTGCAGAAATTGAACGGGCAGCGGAGAATGTTCGGTACTTAGCAAAAGATTGATGGATATATACGGTTTACATGGGGGAACTGGGAAATTCTGATCTCAAACAAATGGCACACACAGCCATCAGACTGCACAAATAAGCCTATACCACACACTGGCCTCTATTGAAGTGTAGCCTGCAATATAATTTACTTTTGTTAGTCTGTGTAAAGAACGTCCATCAAATTCGGTCTAAATGAACTCCGAAATGATTGAATAGGCACAAATATACCGAGATGGATAAAGCATAATATTAACTGTTACTTAACATCTTGAACAGCCCAAGTGGTAATAGGAGAAAAACGCAATAAGAATAATTCAGATACTTACCAGCTTTGAACGACCGAGAACACATTCAGAACTTATGTTCGTTACATATATAGGTGTATCTCCACGCTGTGATTGACGTCCTCCAGCAATTGATATGCCTAAAGGTTCTTCTGGACCCTTATTTACAACAATAGTTCTTTCTTGACAGGATGGTGGTTCTGCGGAGGTTGACTAAATTTCACAAATAGAAGAATTAAATAATGTGCATTAAGCATATGTTGGAAGGCATAAAATATCATAAAAGTGCGATACATTTAAATACTAACACCTTTATTTTTATTAATGAAGATTGAAAATGGCTCAGGACCTGTGGCTATAGGGCTTTTTACAAGACTGTTCGTATATCACAATCAAAATAAGACAAAACGAGAGTGGGCATACAACAAATGAAAGGTGATACCTCCATTGCCCCAACTTTTTATTCTTTTACACTGTTTTATTCTGCTATATCTATCTCATTTGCAATTTTTTAAAATAAGATTTTTCTATAACTGTAATCATTCTCACACTAAACGTTATGTTGATATTCTTCTCTTCACTTCGCTCCACCTTACGATCTATGTCTACGAGCAGAACATTCCGAGATGGTATACAGCTATTCACTTTCACATGAGAAGTGAATTGGCATAACCATAGTGAAGCCATGTATGCAGACAAAATGGTTTTTCTTTTTTATTACTATAATCTCACAGCTTCATTTCAACGCTTTGATGAATGACATTTATCCGTTGAATATGCAAGTGACGCTTCAAAACACCTGTATGTTATACCTGTATATCATAAAAATGAACAACAATTTGAACTATCAGTAATAAATATTTAGAGATATTACAGCTGGTAGAATGAACCGTCATGGCTTTATTCCAAGAAAGCTATCATCAGAAGAGCAATATTGTACTTTGACACCAAGATTAAGCTGATCCACAATAAACCATTTGTCACTGGTTGGGAGTGTATGTGCCAGTATGTTCTGTGCACATTAAGTCTAATGAAAGTCATTATCTACCATGGAGTTCTGAACAGCTGACTCCGCCTAGTTCGGGACTCTTCAATAGTACGTGTTCATGAGGACAGAGGGAATCAAGTCCAAGACATTCAGGTTATGAGACTAGCTCATTGACCATTCAGCCACAGGGACGCGATTCAATCAAGTCCAGTACTTCCTGGTTTTCAAAAGTTCTCTAACTGATATCAATCTGTGACCAAACTTGAAAATGATCAAAACCTTACGAACTAACAACTAAAAATCATTACAAAAATTAGAAGAGGTTTGACAATCAAATGTATTTAAGGCAGACAATAGGGCTTTTTTTATCCAAGCCTCATGGTGACTATGCCCTCCCTTTTTTTAACTCTGACGTTAAAATCATATTTCACTGTTTCACAACCGACAATGAAGGGAAGCACACCAAAGGTGCTCCTGTGGAGCAAGTTACATAAGCCGTACAATTAGGCGTGTTTTTCGTTGGATTTCCAAACATCACCCTGTGTGGTTAAGCAAAGGACAAACAAAATCTATTCGTAGCACTATTCTGTCCCAACTTTTGGATACAGAACACAAGATTGATGTTAACCAGGCAGCTTTCGAAGTCATTTACCGCATACCAACAAATCTTAACTTCGCCTTAAGAGTTCGATTACTAAATATTGCTGAGGTTGTTGGGATCCACATTAAGAAGTCTAATTTATGTGCGAAAAACAAATTAGTTCAGTTATTGTCCTTACTTTGACCATCTAAGTTCAAACGATTCTCAATTTTGTAGAAATTCCCTTAATTTTTGTTGATATTCTATTCGGTATTCCATTGATCTTACTTTACCAATCAATATTATTTAAAAACACTAATATTGTTGTTGACTACTATTCTAGAATATTCTTATATATATATATATATATAATTGTAGTACAGTTCACCACTTTCATGACTCAAATCTTCAATACTGAAATATTCTCGAATATAAACAATAATCGATGAGGAGAACACAGTGATACTTTGCTCATCTAAATTCCATGTATATAATGATTGAACTATGGAATCACATACCGTATGAATTCATTTGTTTGTTAGACGACACAGTGAATAATACAACACTATTTAAAAGGATAATCTTCAAACATCATCCTTCAGTGTTATTATTAACACTAGGGTACTCAAATAATCCTCTCATTCTGTCGATTCATTTGACTTCGGTGTAAGTACAGATTCTATACTCCGGTACTACAAGCGAGTGTGTTTATGATGGACTTAATAAACAGAAATTCAGTGACCAACCACCTTCCACATCATCTAAATTTATCAGACTTCAGAACTATGTTATAAGCTTATGCGGATCATGTATTGCTGAGTCCATATAACCACAGCTAAATCTTCTCTGTTAGTATGAACACAGAGAGAACAAACACAGTCACAGTTTATTTCACAGCTTCCAACAGCTGCTAAAAGCCTAAAAATGAAATGAGTTATTATAAATGCAAAAATACATAACATTATTCAAAGGACAAAGATTTGAATACAAAATAGTTAATAATCTTACAACTAAAGTTTAGTTAAACATAAGAGGATAAAACATTGGACACGAGATGGCAGGAGTGAACACAGATGGTAAATAGACTTAAAATCCCTACTTAAACAAGCAATTAAGTAAGTTGGAAGACCAATAATAAGTTCAGCTCATTTAATAGTATGCTCTGCATGTCAGCTCCAACTTCATTTACCAATTCATGTACACTTGCAGTGGTAATAACACACAGAAAGGACTGACAGGAAAGAATCTACTAGGTTCTTCGAGCACGTAGCCAACAATCTTCAAAGGAGATGTAAGAAAGTGTTTGCAACTGCAATTGCTAGATGCCTGATTGACATGGAGACATACAGTCGAAATCAGTTAGGTCTTCAAAACAACCAATCTACAGAGAAAAACCTAGCTACTTCGTTTCACATGAGCCAATGCTATCAAATGATTTCAATGTAATCTCTGTATATACAGGAAGACAGTGTGATTAACCTTTCACTACCTTGGTAACTAAGACGTCTCTGTTCTGTTTCTGTGTATTTGTTAAGTCACAGTTTTTTCTTCCCTTCATTACAACTCACTAAGCTAAACAAGTATTAATCACCTAATTGACTTAATTGTTTATTTACGTAATAATTTTACTACCACTTACTACTTGTCTCCACTTCCACACTCTCCTCGAGTACCAAACAATCCACCCAAGGGCATATGATTACGTCTCCTGCCTATAGAGATTAATGAGAAACCCGACGTGTGTTCAAAAACAGAACATTCATCCACTTTGTTTACCCCGGCGTACTATAAGGTCATCTTGGGACATAATCATTTCATATCCGTGTCATATTATGCCTTTCTAATTCCTTTTTGACCAGTTTACTTCATTCCGTTATTATCTTTGTTATGTACTAATCTTTGTAATTTGAACTAAGCTTATTATATCTCTAGCATTTTATTACAATTCACAAATTAACCTGTTTATTTTATCATCAAACATGTTATCTGTCAACCCTTGAACTTTCTCTTGTAGATATTTGTTTGTATTTATCTTGTGGTAACTATATTTCCCTCATACCACTGAATATAACTCACGGAATAGGTAGAAGACTTGATAAAGGAATGTTTCATTTGCAATTCGATATCTCTGCATAGCATAATTATGCACACCTTATCTTCAAATCACCATTCGCCCAGATCTTCTGTGTTATGCTTATTCTGCCCTTCATATTGGTATTTCTTTGTGTTCATTTCACGTCTCCCATGTATCTGTACAACGCTGTATATGGCATCAAATTCCGAGCATTTTATTTTGTAGATAAAATGAGATAGAGAATCTTAAGGGATTTGGTCTTTAATATAGTCTTTTATATCTAATTGTATTTACAAAATAAAATGCTTGGAATGTGATGCGATATACATCGGACAAACATCTTGAGAAATCAAAACCAGAATGAATGAACACCGTAGAGCATCTGTTCGACCACCGAGAAATCCGGTTGAACTAGGAAAGCTCGAAAAATCACCAGCCACGCTATAGAATCAAAACTGAATTTTCAAGTATTGGTTTTAAAGGGATTTTGTTTGATTGCATGGAGGATTTAATCATGAACTGAAATCAGTTTGAGAACCACTGGAAAACCTCGGAGTACTGGACAGCTGTTTCGTCTGATGCTCACTAGCGACTGGCCCTATTCAGGTAGTTAACCTGGGGTTCTAGTGGGAAACCGTGACCAGTAGGGTACAGCGGGTTGAAGATGAGGCAGTAACTCATCGAAGAAGACATTGGGAAATGGTCGCGCTATGTCGTGAGTTGGCAGAAGTTAGAATTCAAGGACCATTGGATCGGGTCCCAGTTGTTCAATGGTCTACGAACCCGCCTTGTAACCAGAAGGTCCTGGAATCGAACCACGGTGGATGCGTACTTCTGAAGAGTCCCAAACAGGGACGAAACAGCCATCCAGTACTCTCAGGTTTTCCAGTGGTTCTCTAAATGTTGTCAGCTCATGATGAAAGCCTCCACGCAATCAATCAAAATTGATTTCGACAATACTGAAACAGTCCAGAAAAATTTCAGAAATCACAAATAACGTCTAACATCATCAGAAGCACTTCATATCAACTGGTATCCAAATTGTCTGTATGGGAATGATGGACTAAAACGGAATTTCACCTAGTAACAATACCCTCCTCCTCCATGAAATGACGAAATCAACATGAATGTAATAAGCAATTTCATTATGTAAACACACGCTGCTTTTATAATTTTATACACTTATCAAATCCGACTATCTACACCTGGTTTTGTTGTCTTTACCAATTGGGTGATTTGACAACGAAAAAATGACCCCATGCTGAGGAACCATGATTAATCTGTTATACATATTTAGAGATCTTGCAAATTCTGGTTTGATAATACTTTGATAAAGCCATTAGCAGCAGGATTAAATAGCGAAACGTCAGTAAAAACAATATCGTTTTGTTTTTCATCCATAGGAAAATACAAAAAGCCTTTATTATAATGTATACACATCTATGTGCATATATTCATTCACATGCTCCTGTCGAGCTGATTACATTGGAAGTTGTAATCCCCGTAAACGCGCAGCTGAACACCACCCAGTTTGGTTAATGAAAGGTGAGCAAATGACGACAAAGTTTTCAATCTGTGAACACCTTCTGCAGTCAGATCATTCAACTCCACGTGATTTATCATCTATAGGAGCAAATAAAATCACCTCAGAAGTTTACGTTTTCTCTACTTATGCACAGCTGAAGCTTTAGCTATACATGGACAAAAACCTAAATTATGTATTCAAAAACGTTTTGTCCAACCCCCTTCTTTATCTTTGTCAGAATAATGTTCTTTTATTTTATTCTATTTTAAAACTTGAATTAACTCCACTTCAACTTCACCGTCTTTATGGTTATCATAATCATCTTATTCCTAATTTTCAGACAACACCTGACCTACAATTTAAAATCTCTATACCAGTTCACTTATTTAATAATCTTTAAAAGTTTTGTAATTCATCCACTTCAACTCTACACTCCAATAGTACATCCTTTTAATCATCTTTATTCTTATCTTATATTTATTCTTATATCACAGGACTGGACTACACTGTCTCCTTGTTTAGAAATGGGGAGTGAAGTGGTAGACCCAACGCAAGCAGACTGATCGGTGACGAAATTTCAGCACGGATACAGAAGGCTCGTTTCACATATGACAGTTTACACCGTCTCTGGCGTACACGTGATATCCGGCTACCGACGAAAGGGTGTATGTACTGCTCACCAGTCTGCTCCGTCCTCTTTTATGGCTAAGAGCGAGACATGGCCATTCAGAGCGGAAGACATGAAAAGATTAGCTGTCTTCAATCATAGGTGCCTGCGTTTTATCTCCCGTGTGAAGTGGTATAATAAGGTGAGCAATATTGAGGTTAGGCGTCGAGTTCTAGGTAAGGAGGGGAAATCAATCGACGAGGCTGTGAAGCTAAATCGACTGAGATCGTTAGGACATGTGTTACACATGCACGCCTGCTCATCGCCTTCAGGCAATGTTAGCTGACATAGGGTCAGACTGGAAAAGAGCTAGCGGAGGTCAAACGAAAACATGCCACCAGTCAATGAAATCTACAACAGTTAGTCTAAGCCACGTAGGAAGGTGTAGACTTCCTGACTGGTTGGGGTCCTCGGGACGGTAAAAACCAATGGTTGTAAAACAATTGGTGACATGGATCAAAATCGTTCTCAATGGCTGGTGCAGATGCATCCACTCCTTGTGACTTATGATTTCCAATGAAACTGTTTTGTTCTTCGTTATTACTATTCCTTTGTTTGACACCTCTGATTACTGTCTCTATTATGCTTTTCTTGTACTTTCTTCTCTTGCTTTGTGTGCTACAGGGAGGGAGTGTGGCGACTTGAACTGCCACACATCGGTACAAAGTTCTATGTCAAAAATAGAAGACAGACAGACAGACTTATCGTATGTGCAATATTGACTGAGTAATTTCTGGTGCTAGTTACTGCCTTTTTACTTAATATAAATACGACTATACAGTTAGCTTGAAAAGAAGCCGTTGAAAAGAGATATTTCTTCGTTGAACAAAAAACTGTGTTTTTCCTTAGTATCAAAGCATTAAAACAAAACAGAAATAAATCAATAGCAAATAAGTTTAGAAAGAGTAAGAAAAAAATACTACTGATGACTTACAATAAATTGTTTCGGCAATCTATTTGTGCTATTTTGATGAGTACGTGAATTGAATGCAATAACTGAATCCAGTGAATTAGATCGATTACGTGGTTCTTTACAAATATTCATTTTACTCAAATTGCTGTCATCATTTACTGTACCAGTTGAATTTGGTATTGTAGGATTATAACAGGCTAATTTTTGTTCAGTTGAAGGACGTATCAGCTCTGTAGTTGAATGTGTACTTGAAGCATTTGTGTCACGATCTTCTAAACTGTTAGACCATGCAAAATTATGATGACTAATATTTGATGAATCCTGTTTATTCGGATGATCCGATGAACTCAGCTGTAATGATTCTAGCGTTAATAGACTATTCTCTAGCTTTTCTTCAGAATCCGTTGTTGTTCTTAAAATGTCTGGTGTATCTGAACGATTTCGTCGACTTATTTTGAAGATAACATAATCTGAAACAGACTAGAGTATACAAAAAAACATACGAAGAAAATGAATACTGTAAAATAAATGGACAAATTATTATATACAAACTATAGAATTGTCTTCCTAAATGTTCTCCTTACACGAAAGCCAGACGGAGTGGTATAAAGAGAAATTTGCATAGGCAAAGTACATAGACAGGACAATATATACATTTTCATAGCTTCGTTCTTCACCAGTACAAAAGAAATTTAGTAAGGAGTTTCAGTCACAGGGTTAGAGCTATATGCTCAAAAGAGGTAACTGAAGATGAAGTAAGGAATATTCTCCACCTGTAAATAAGAAGCCTTTAATATATACGACTATAGTTCAAGGGTAACGCACCTAGTGAAATAATTGCTAGCATATTAAGAAGTTCAGTTCAAAGAACTTTTAATGCTGGCAAATTACAAGTTTTATTTTCTACACGACCGGTGGAGGTTCCTCAACTGAAAGATGAAGTACCTAGACTAGCCACTTCTAATAGTATCTATCCATTCAACTGCGACTATGTAGCGAGTTATATTCGCCGTTGCTCTAAGAACTAAGTAAAGGTGTAGTAAAAACCACCAATAGTTCGATATTAGACCACCTGGTCCAAACAGGCCACAAAGCCAGTTAGCAATGAAGAGTTCTTCTCTATCATATACCGAGTACCGAATAAACTGGCAAAGACACCCAGGTATGGCATACTCGAAACAGCAGAGGCTATCGCGATTCGTGTGAAACAACCAGTGCTTTGTGTGCACAAGAAGTAAGTTCAGCCAATACTGCTGCCGCCCTGGGCGGCCTTCAGTGGAGACTATAAATTCATGAAATGTGTTATTATCTTTCCTAATTTTTCTGGAAATCAGTTTATTGTTATGCTGATGTTATGGAACTGTAGTCCTTTGATATTATTACTGATTTGATGGTATTTAAACAACATGAATGTTGTTAATAATAGCACTAATTCACTTACTATTATATATATATATATATATATATATATATATACCCACATATACAATTAGTGTTGTGAGGATTTGTTTTTCAGTTGTCAGATAATGCGATAGTGAGGATTAGAACAGTTCCATGATAACTAAACTGAAATGATGACCTGGATAGCACCTGAACCTTACACCTCCGTTGGTATAGAGATGAACGAGTAATTCTGATGACATCTTTGATCACCAATCAAAAGTTATGTGTACTGTCCTTGTTTATCGTTACCGGTCATTGAAAATGGAAGACATCACAAAAGGGCTAACTGTCTTTGATCAGACATGCTTCCGTTTTGTCGCCCGTGTTAAATGGTATAGTATGGTGAGTAATTTTCACGTTAGAAGTAGAAGTGTTAACTAAGGAGGAAAAGTCAATAGACGAGGTCGTGAAGCTATATCGATTGAAATGGTTGGAACAAAACAGAATTCAGGAACAGAATTATTTATTGACAATCCGATGTAAAAATACAGGCAAAATAAGTCTACCACCATACAATAGAATCAAAATTTTTGCACATATCTTCGCTTTTGCACTACCTTGTCTTTCTTTCATGTTTTTCATGTTGTTTCACAAGCACCGTTGATTTCTTCTTTTCGCCATTAAATCCATCTCCCCAATACTCGATAATCTTGAAGACGATATACATAGATATATTATTCATAAGTCTTGTTAGTAGCACACGCCAGATGGCTGGGACACGTGTTACGCATCCCGAACCACCGCTTACCTCGCCCAGTAGTGCTAGCTGATATAAGGTTAATTTGGAAAGGAACTAGGGGTGATCAAGTCAAAACCTGGAATCAGTCTATGAATTCATTGACAGTTGGTTTGAGTAAGGTGGGAAGGCTTGGCTATCTGGTTGGAGTTCTTGGGATGGTAAGAACCGATAGCTTGAGACTATTAGTGACATACACGAAAACGTCCTCAATGGCACAGATGCATATAATCTGTGTAATCTCAAAGATCTATTAAGTTCTACAGTAAAGTTCACTCGGTCACTCTGTTGTTGGCGTAAAGAAAAATTTGACCAGAAAATCCCCACTTGAACAATCTATTTACACTGCTGATGCTTATATGAATATTTCACTTAATTGTATAATGATTACCCCTTTTCTTCATGACCAGTGTATCATCATTCCAACGTGTATTCTTCTTCTTCTTTTACTTTGATCCTTATTATCGATCTTTATTTGTGGTTGATTCCTATTTTTAATGTTTCACTTTACTATTGGGTGACGGTGGACTGTTGTTGATCACGTGTTGTTTTACGATTGCCATCTTATTTGGATGAATTCAAGGTTATGTCGTGGGAATTTTGACCTTAGACTGTCAGCAGGAAAAGTGTTTTTTACGTCTTTGACTCTGGCAGACAGAGTTTTGATCCCATCTTGTTGGGAATATTCTATCTGACTTGAGGAAGTTTTGTCAGCTATACATATTTTTTTAATTTTTGATTACAGCTTGATTCCACACCATATTTTTCGGTACAGGTATGGAATTTTCAGCATGTGATATCGGTAGCCCAAATTTTGCAGGCCGACCATAGATATCAGGTGTGCGTCGGCAGAGGATCGAACTCCGGACCATGCGCATGGTTGGCGAGCATCCTACCGCTTTGTCACCGACGCACATTGGAATGCATAGAATGCTTCCCTAAGTTCAGACCAAAATACTTCGGTTTTGATCAAAATTTTCATGTCACCTACAACCACCAGCCATCCATTAAATCAAAACTGATAAAACGTTCACAAATTCTGCAACGTTTGATCAGTGTGTTTTTCGATCAGGATGGAAAACTCAGATTCAGATTTTCTTAAATAATAAAGCGATAAACAATGAGACATTCCAATCTATCTACTATTACACCTGACTGTGAAGTCTGCTAGCCGTGAACACCTGTCATGTACGTGTATATACAGGTACAGAAATGATATTAGTGGGCATATTTCAAATTATTCTGTCAATCCGTTGTCATTAGTTACCTGGGAAGTAAGGCATTTTTCAAAGCAATAGATAGTACGTATCACTGTGATCTGTCACTCTGTTGACGTGATAGTTGGTTGCCCCTATGCCACATACTTGAAAGTTATTCAAAAGATTTAATCAGTAAACAGCTTAAAATTAATATTCGAATTGTATGTACACACAGAGAAACCAAATACTCATGAAACACTTTGTTCTATACCATATTGTTGTGAGAAAACGTTCATCAAGTAATACGATCATCCAATCAATAATTTGGTGTATCTGATTCAATGATACAACTATTACAAGTTGGTAGAATCACAAAAATGAACATACATTTTTAAGATACAATAAGACGAATGTAAAAAAAATGCAGTCATTCACAAAAATTCATCGATTCTCAGTTGAATAGAACTCAGTTGCCTGAAACAACCAGGCTTAGGAGCCACACTAATTGAGTGTAAGGGTTGATGAGATTACCTAGGCTAAAGTAGGTGGACTGGGATTCGAACCCATGACTCACTTGGTTGAAAGTCAAGCGCTTAAACCAATAGAATTTCAAATTTAAAGCATTCAAGATATCATGTCTTATACAGTAAGAATTAATTTAGTACACAGAGCCTTAGAAAAGAGAGAGGTAAAAACAAATTAGAATAAACAGCAATAAAATATGTAGAATTTCATTTTTTTACCTTTTGAATAATGCTGTCAAAAAAACTAATAAAAAGCCATTCTTATTTTTAAACAATGATGAATAATGTGAATACACACCACCGGTAAATTGGTTTACTTGAAATTAATTCAATAACAAGATTATGACAACTAACGTCGAAAAAATCAGGATTTCACGAAAATCGATGCGTTTAGACCAGACAAAAGAGGGGAAGAAAATTTCAAAATAATTTTAGTAAAACGTAAATTATTCTCTATGCGCTTTCTGAAATGAACTTCCCTACTTGATCATCGTCTTTGTATCCTCATATCAACTTACCAATCATTGCCGAAATAAAAGTATATCTTCAAAAAACACATGCGAGAATTTGTAGAAGTATTGTTTTGTAGCGAATGATGGAATATGGTTAAAGTCCCATTCTGGGGTATTTAGCGCAACTTTATCATTCGATTAATTCTAAGTAATCATTTCCCGTAAAAACAAATTATTCTTACTTTTTTTAATTTATACCTGAATACCACTCATCAAGGAATAGTGCCTGTTAGCTAGTTCAAAATGATCAAAACACCGAATAGTGGTTTCCCTAATTTTTGGTTGAGCTTATCAGCGGTATACCACCTCAACTCCGCAGTAAGAACCGAAGTAGTTAAAACCATCAAAATTCTACTTTGATTGGACACTAAGTAATGTAACACTAATGTTACGCATCCGGTACTTCATTTAGTACAGACTACCAGTCAAATTAGCAAAATAAGCACTATGTTAGGGTGATGGCCATCATTGTGTACTCTGAACTGTTGTTATATGGTTTGAGGCAATCGGCAAAAACTGTTGGACCTAGGTTTCGTGCTTCTTGGCACTTGTCAGAAGGTCAGTCACGAGCTCGAATGGCTTAGTGATCACATCTCAAACTGTAGCACTGTGTGAACCCAGATTCGAATCATAGAAGGGATATGAGTTTCATCAAGATTGCAGACACGCCTTAATGACGAGTACCAAAAAGCAGGCCTACGGCTTCCTGCCAATCACCTCCAACCACCTAACGTTCAAATTCTATCCGGTTGATAGAAGTGTTATTCAACTACCCGTGCTAATCAATCAGCAGTTCATAACAACATGAATGTATACTTGCATTCTGGACTGACATTTATCGTATCAAGTAGTTCTTAAATCACTATCTGAATAATTATGGTTTCCAAAGAAAAGTGTGATGAAATTTCACCTACAACTGTGTAAACTGTAAATGGGAAATTTTATTTGCGAATATCAAGTATACAAATGTGAGCGAATTCCCTATACTGAGACAGCTGCATTAACGTAGAGCTACATTAACGTATACGCTAAGGCCCACGGCTTGAATCTTTTCAGAATCCTTTACACATATGATGACAAACTCCAGTTCAAAGCACATAACACTTAAAAATCATCAAAGCTACTCTTTTCTTAATATTAACCCATACTCAAACTGCTGTGCAATTATCTAATTTGATTGGTTACAGGTTCGATGGCGAGGTGACATTGGAAATTGGCAGAAGTCACAATTCATGGAGTACACGGTCGGGTTTCAGTGGTTGAATGGTCGTACTAGCTAGCTCACTTTGTAACAGGGAGGTACTCGATTCGAACCCCAGGGAGCGAGCACTAATGATGAAGAGTCCCAAACCAGAATGAAAAGCCATTCTCCAATGCCCCCTGGTTTCCTAATAGCTCTCTAACTGATGGCAGATCATGATTGAACCTGAATTGTCATCTGAATTGGTAACAACCAGTGGTGTCCGACAGGGATGTCCACTTTCCCCATTTCTGTTTAACTTCGTCATAGATATGCTAACGGAAGTATCCTTAACTGAACGTAGTGACTTAGGAATCGACCTGTTACCAGGGAATAATCTTATGGACTTAGAATATGCAGATGACACAGTCCTGTTAGGGGAGGATGCTGAAAAAATGCAGAGTCTTCTGAACACCTTGAGCAGCAATCTTCGTATGTTTGGCATGCGATTCGCCCCTGCAAAATGTAAGATGCTGCTACAGGACTGGACCACGTCAACCCCTAACTTAGTGATAGGGAGTGAAGTGATAGAGCATGTTGACCACTTCACCTATTTGGGAAGTTGTATTAGCACCAACGGACTGATTGGCGATGAAATCTCAGCACGGATCCGAAAAGCTCGAGCTGCTTTCGCTGACTTACACCATCTCTGGCGTAGGCGTGACATCCGGTTATCAACCAAGGGACGTGTGTACTGCTCATCAGTTCGCTCCGTCCTTCTCTATGGCTCTGAAACATGGCCAATACGCGTTGAAGACATGAAAAGGTTGACTGCTTTCGATCATAGATGTCTGCGATCTCTGTCTCACGTTAGGTGGTTTCACAAGATAAGTAATGTTGACGTTAGGCGTAGAGTGTTGGGCAAAGAGGGAAAATCAATCGACGAGGCTATAAAGTTACATAGACTAAGATGGCTAGGTCACGTGCTGCGCATGCCTAACCACCGCCTCCCCCGACGGGCATTGCTAGCTGATATAGGTTCAGGTTGGAAAAGAGCCAGTGGTGGCCAAACAAAAACATGGAATCAATCCATGAAATCCTTGACAGTTAAACTGAGTCAGGTAGGGAGATGCAGACTCCCGGGTTGGGGGCCTCGGGACTCTAGGAATCAATGGCTGGAGACAATAGGTGACATGGCTCAAAATCGTTGTCAGTGGCGCAGATGTATTCAGTCTCTGTAATCCTTCATATTCCTTTCTACCATTACCCATTCTGTTTCACTCTTATACTTGTCAAACTCTATTGATTCTCTCCACTCATCTTCTTGTCTACCTCTGTGTGGTATTTGGAACGTGGCAACTCGAACTGCTGCACTTCGGTGCCAAGTTCTATGTTGAATCCAGACAGACAGACAGATTGAACCTGAAATCAAGACTATATAATTGGTAGAATACTATCACCTTGTCAGACGATAGAGACTTGTACTAACGTTTGAAACTCTTACAATCGATCCGGTGCACGTAAAACTGTTGGGTAGCCGCAGATCACATCAGGACACTTTTAAATTGACTGTTAATTTTTAATAATTCCGCAGTAAGTAACAGTTTAATATGAAATTTATCTTCGAGAAAGATAAGTATAAGTTCTGTAGTAGATGGCATTATTTTTATACAAATTCAGTAGTATATATTATTCTTGAAAAGTATTCAATCACCAATATCAATCAAGTGAAAAAAAAAGAGAGACTTACATTAATTATTTGAGCTGCTTGTTCTTGTGTTCCATTTTCTAAATCTATTCCATTGATTTCCAATATACGATCATCTTTTTTCATTCTTCCATCAAGATCTGCTTCACAACCGGCGACAAGTTCTAGTACATAAAGTCCTGGTAAGTGCCTAACATTCACATTCAAAATTCAATAGTATGAAGAAAAGAATGAAGACAAGGAGAAAGATTTGAATTAACAGTAATGATGCAAACATTAATATGCTAAAAGTGTTACAATATATCTGAAAAGTAATCTAGTTTTCAGGTTATCAGCTTAAAAATCGTTACATGTGTGAAATTTCTTTCTTTTCCCTTGAATTTCGGGTGGAATATATGCTTTCAAGCTCTGAAGTGCCAGTACCGATCGTGTTCCCTTGTTTGTTTTTACGCCCAATCTAACAGGCTAAACTATCAGCAAGTGTTTCAGAGTGTTTCGGTAGGAAATTCACCAAAGACCTCCAACGTGGTTGGTGACCAATGCATACAATCTTGGAATGGTATTCAGTCTGTTGATTGATGCTATCTTTTTAAATCGCTTTGTACATATAGTTATATGACATTATTGTTATGTACATGTTGAACTGTTGACCCAAGACAGTAAAAATCTCTCTACTCAACGGTCTGCCCTCATCCTTTCTCCTTTGTGTCACGTATCCATAGTATCATGTAGTGATGGATGTCGTTGAGAATAGTGATTAGGACAGTAGGCTCGTGAATCTACTAGTTAGAAAGTTCGTTACCACAAGAGATTCGGAAAATACTAGGCTGACAATCGACTACCCGAATCACCAAGTCTTTGTTTTTACCTGCTTGTGAATTAATCGTTTGTGTGATAAAATTACTAAGGCAAACAATGCAGGACATATCCATGTCGTCATTGGAGAAAACGTGAGGTACACACTTATTTAAACAAATATCACTTCACTAAGAGTGATGGTAGAACAATGATATAACGCCTCTGAATAACAAAAATTGCAAGATAAAACTTGTAGACATTATATTGGTTCATTCTACAGCCTAACATGACCGCCAGTGCTTTTGAAAGTGGTAGCTATGCGCAGAACACTCATGAGATGAAGACGAGAAGATATCTTCAATTTTAGACATTTAGAAGACAAAAGGTTTGAACGATGAAATATTCAAATTTTAATTAGATACCTATCTCTAGCTCTAATATATATGTATCCCGTTTTTAAAACAATACAAAACGACATAGTTAATTACTGGCGACAGGTTTATAAACAATTTTAACGCTGTGAGTCAGTGGCACAGAGGTTAGGACGCTCGCCGGCCATGCACATGGTCCGGGGTTCGATCTCCAACCGATGCACTCCTTTACTTCGCTAAGCCAAAAATAAACCTGGTATAGAGGAAATGTTGGGCATGAGGCTAGTAACCCTATCCTGTAAAAATAAATACCACTGCTACAGAAAATTCAAGTCCTATGTTTCACTGGGAACGTGAAGGAATAAAAAAAACCTAATTTTCTCTCCTTTATGTGTAACTAACAGTTTGGTTGTTACTGAGGAGCTGGTTACATTGGGGATACAACTAGACAAGTTTATCACGGCATTTGGGAATACTACGGTGCATGGTTGAGCATAGGAACAAACAAGATTTATTCATAGCCTCTTTTAGCACACCTTGTAGATAGTCAGCATAAAGTTGACGTTAATACATGATTTAAAGTTACTTAACACATTTCAAATCATCTCAATTTTCCTTTATGAATTCGTCTCGTGTGGTTGCTAGACGCATATCCAACCTCCCTTTCTTACAGGGCTTATGACAGGCTAAGCGAGGTTGAGGAACGTGAGCTCAGGTATCGAATAGGGATTACCTGCGTACTTGACGAGGATTAATGGTATTACTGGTAATAGTAGGAATATAGACCTAGAATATAAGACAAGGAGCAAGAAAATTAAGTTAATACATGGTGATAACAAAGTCTAAGGACTGCACTACTTTGTATAATTTAATCACTTATGTGAACTTATGCGCATAGATCTTTTTCTCCATAGAGTGATTTCAGCAGAATTTATATACCTACTAAATGATCTCAAAAGTGTTATCTATCCGTGAGACGGTGAACTACATATGCCCGACAAATCACGGGAAGGAAAATTGACGCAGGAATTCCTCTATTTAACCTCAACAAAATTACAATTTACGAGTACTGATTTGCCTTCAAGAAATCATTACTACCGAAAAATGGATGGAACCGCTATAGATTCACCATTAGGACAAATTTTAGAACGGACTTCTTCCTTGCAAAACCTGTAAATATATAATTGGAAGATGTCATCAATGAGTTGGATGTGTACTACATTAGTTATGTTAATTAGTGAGGATGTAGGTATATATGAATTATTGATGAAATTTATAAGTTTCACACGAAATCAAAGTGCAACACTGATACATTTTAAGAATATGACATTATATTATAATTTTGATTGTTTAACCATTCACTGGTACACTGTAAAAAGTGGTCTTCACAAGCAAAACGGACAAAAATTCAACCCGTAAATCAACTCAAATAAAGTAGTCTCTCTATAATCAGTAAATATCCTCGAAGAAAGTGAATAGTCATTAAATACACCCCTCCCCCAAAAGGAGGGGGAGACATTTCATTCTAAAAAACTTAAAATATACAAGAAGGAAAAGGCATTAATTAGTAGATATAGTTAATGAGCACTACTAATCACAAAACACCCACAAAAGAAGAATAGTTTGTTAATTAATAGAGATGGATACGACAAATGCTGAGAAAAACGTTGAGTGATATCGCACGCCAGGCCCTGGAGAGGAACCCGAAAAGGGGAAAAGACGAGTTGGGCGTGGATCCGACAGTAAACATAGAGAAGATTATTTAAGGGGGTAAATTATAGCTCATGGGTATTCGCGGAACCACCTTTGAAGGGTTACAGAGAACAGGGTGAAATGCAGATATGCTGCTGAAGCTGTAAGTCCCACCCGAAACCCAAAGGAACAATAATAAGTGAACGTCATGATTGCGCAAATACATAACACGTTTCAGATAAACTACGTCTTCTAATTCTTTTGTCGAGATTCATAAAGTTAATTAACTGTTTTTAAGGCTTCACAGCTTATTGGATTTTCTGACAAATGGGTACAGATCTTTAAGTGGAATAGTTGGAAGAAAGTGAATTTGTTATTTCACGAATGTTATTTCCTACTTAAATCTCATATATGTAACTTCAGTGTAGATTATGAGTTTCCTAGGGAGTTTGAAGAGTCAATACAAAACTGGACATCGATCGAAGATTTTTTTCTGTGGCGAATTGCATAACTGTAACTTGGGATAATTGGTCAATTAAGTCTAAGGTCATTCAGGATAAAGATTCAATCATGAGAATTGATATTTCTAAAATTTCTATATGATCTAGGCAGATAATTACACTGTTAGTTATCCGGCATAGTTCTTTCTTCTAACCGGCTACGAGCAAAATGCCTGACAATGCTGCCTAGTCTCGCAGACTTTAGTGAGCATAAATTGATCCAAACTGAAACTCAACTGGCTTATGTTCTGAGTCACTAAGTCAAAAATAATATCATGATTCTTGTTAAGCTCGGTCAGGGATTGCTGTCACTTTTGAGAACTATGGAAAACGAGGGAGTACTGGAGAGCAGTTTAATCATAGTTTTGGACTCTTCATCAGTACGTGTCCGATGTAGTTCGAACTCGGAACCTTCCGGTTACAAGGAAATTTCGCATACTTTTCAGCCACTGAGACGTTTTCCAGTAACCCATGAGTCCCAACTTCTACCAATGCTAGCCAATGTCATCGACTAGGATTCGTCCTCATTCCCGACAGATGGACCTCATTGGTCACAACTTCCCACCAGAACTTCAGGCACGTAACAGAACAATTTTGAAGAGTTAGTTTGTAGGTATTTAATTTGTTTCAGGTTTAATCACGGACTGATGCCAATTCAAAACTCAAACGAAACCAGCTGTTCAGGACACTCGGCTTTTTTCCCTTGATTCTCAAACTGACATGAGTCAGCGATCGTACCTGAAATAATCTAACTCTTGAGAATGTTATGTTTAGTACTTGCTATTTATAGATGTGAAGAAGGGCTAATGAGAAGAAGATGAAGCAAACCATGTTGCTGGTGTGTAGTCATGGATGAAACTAGTTAGACAAAACACAATATTCACCAATATGTAAATGTTAGTTTTAGTCGAATTAAAGCTTTTACATATATATTGAAATAACTCAACTCTGTCAATATTTGATTTGAGAGGAAAACTTAGGATAGAGAAGAAAAAAGATTCAAAAAGTATGCTTAAATTTGTGAGCTTTATTTTTATGCAAATGTGTGTAACTTACATTACACGTTTATCTATGGAAACGTGAAAAGAAAAACTTGTTTTTCTGAAATGTTATTCATTTAACTAATTACACCTTCACGTCTGCATTTATTATAAATTATACTTAAAGTTTCACAATTTGAAACGTGACTACTACTAAATCATTAAATTATACAGGAGAAAATAATATGAACAGAACCAATTGGTGATTACATTTACAGTGTGTTCATATATATTTAGTTAGAAAATGATATCTAATGAAGGAAATTGGTGGATGGTGACTAGACTACCAGTGAAATCAAGGATGAACTTTCGTCCTGTCTAGGACTCGTCAGGTAGATGAACTTGCAATTCCCTGGTGAATGACGATATTCTCACTGACACTTGTACCCGGTACGCAATAACCACTAGATCACCTGGGATATAAGAGCCACCTCTTATGAAACGCGTATCAGCTATTTCTTGTTTAAGTCAAGTATAGTTTTCCTGGATTCCACTGCTAGTCAACATACATTAAGTTACTTCATATTAATCATCGAGCATCGTCGAGAAGTCTGTCTGTACTAAGGGAATAGAAATATCAACAGAGGCCAAAAATTTCACTCCAGTCAGTCTAAATTGACTGAAATGAATAAAAACAAAAGATATCTAGTTAACCTTAGAGCACCCATAATAAAAGTGTAACAACAGAAGACAAGACACGGAAGCCGAAGTATAGTTTTTTATTAATCAAACCGCTGTTTATATAACTGAAGTTTATATTCGTTAACCAATCACTGAGATTGTGATTTC